GTACGAACAGCAATCAAGGCTTTACTACAACAAGACTGTGCACCCAGCACATAAAGGGGTGCACCAAGAGTGTCCACCTCAGGTGATTGGGGAAGCTGAGCCACTGGGCCCAATAGGACACCTACCACACAAAGCCACTCTATCAACACAGGGAAGCAGCAAAAATTCAGAGACAAAGAAACATGTCACAAATGAAAGGAATAGAGGATAATAAGAATGCCAAAAAAATGGAAAAGGACCAGTCAGAAATTAAGCATACACTGACTGAAATAAATAATAATATACTGAGATTCAACAGCAGACTAGAGGATATCAAGAATCAAGTGAAAGATTTTAAATACAAGGAAGCAAAAAACACCCATCCTGGAAAGTAAAAAGAAACCAAAAATATGAAGATAGTGTAAGGAGCCTCTGGGACAACTTCAAATGTACCAACATCCAAATTATAGGCATGCCAGAAGGAGAGAGAGAGCAAGATATTGAAAGCCTATTTGAAGAAATAATGACAGAAAACTACCCCTATCTGATGAAAGAAATAGACTTACAAGTCTAAGAAGCAAAGAGAACCCCAAATGAGAGGAATCGAAAGAGGACCACACCAAGACACATCATAATTAAAATGCCAAGGGCAAAAGACAAAGAGAGAATCTTTTTTTAAAAAAATATGTTCTATTGATTTTCTACAGAGAGGAAGGGAGCGGGATAGAGAGCCAGAAACATCAATGAGAGAGAATCACCGATCAGCTGCCTTCCGCAACTCTCCCAATGGGGATGTGCCCGCAACCAAGACACATGCCCCTGACCAGAATCGAACGTGGGACTGCTCAGTCCCCAGGCCGACACTCCATCCAGTGAGCCAAACTGGCCAGGGTCAAAGAGAGAATCTTAAAAGCAGCAAAAGAAAACAGTTAGTTACCTACAAGGGAGTACCCATACGATTGTCAGCTGATTTCTCAACAGAAACCATGCAGGCCAGAAGGGAGTTGCAGGCAATATTCAAAGTGATGAATAGCAAGAACCTACAACCAAGATTACTCTACCCAGCAAAGCTATCATGTAGAATTGAAGGACATATAAAGTTTCCCAGACAAGAAAAAGCTAAAAGAGTCCATCACCATCAAACCAGTATTACATAAAATATGAAAGGGTCTTCTTTAAGAAGAAAAAAAGATCAAAACATGAACAATAAAATGGCAATAGGTATCAATAAAAAATTGAATGTAAAAATCAAAATAAACAAACAAGCAGAACAGAAACAGACTCACAGATGAAAAAGAACATTTTGAT